GCCAAAAAACAAACAAAATAAAAGTCTCCAGTTTATCCTGCTTTATGGCTGAGCAGTACTCCATTATATTAAAAAAGACCAAATCTTTTTTATCCATTCCTCCATTGATGGGCATTCAGATTGTTTCCAAGATCTAACTATTACAAATTGTGCTGCTATAAACATGGATGCACATTAAAAAAAAAAAATTTCAAAACTACATCTTGCCAGGGAGATGGCTCAGTAGAATAAATGCTTGCCTCCAAGCACAAGAGCCTGAGTTCAATCGCCAGTTCTGGGGGAAAAAACCAAAAATTTTCAAAACATGGATGCACATATATCACTGTGGTATAGTGTTTTTAATTTCTGGGAAGATATCCGGTAGGGGAATAGCTGGGTCTAATGAGACTTCCAATCCTGGTTTTTAGAGAAATCTCCACCCTGATTTCCACAGTGCTTGCCCCAGTCTACACTCCCACCCACAATGGAGAAGAGTTCTTTTTTTCCCACAGCCCTACCCACATTTATTATTGGTTAATTTCTTGCTGATAACCATTCTTTCTGGGGTGAGTTGGATCTCAGTGTTGTTTTATCTCTCAAATGACCAGTGATGTTGAACATTTTTTCATATATTTATTTGCTGTGTCTTCATTTGAGAAGTGTATATTCATCTCAGATGTCCATCTGTGGATTGGGTCTTTCAAGTTGGGAGGTCTGATTTTCTTTAGTTCTTTATATGTTCTTGATAGTAATCCTTTGTCTAAGGAACAGCTGGAAAACATTTTTCCCCACACTCTGGATTGTTTCTTCACTCTGTTGGTGTTTTCTCTTTCTGTACAAAAGTTTTTTAATAAGATGAGATTCCAGCTGTTGATTCTTTGTGATAGATAGTTCCTTTGCAATTGGGGTTTCATTCATAAAATCTTTGCCTACACCAATGTCTTCAAGAGCTTTACATATTCTATCCTCCCGCAGATTTAGTATTACTGTTTTATTATTTAGATCTTTGATCCATTTCAAATTTAGTGCATGGTGAAAATAAGGGTCCAATTTAATTTTTTTCACTCATTCATTTATGTATTTGGTAAAGCTTGGATTCATAGTGATCCCCCTGTCCCAGCCTCTCCAGAGCTGGGATTATAGGCATGTGCCACCATGCCCAGACCAAGGCTACTGATTTTTTAATGTTATGATTTTGTATCCAGCTATGCTACTAAATTTATTTATTAAATTTAACAGTTTTAAGGGAGTTTGGGGGGCCTTCTATGTGAGTGTCATGTCATCTGAAAATAATAATTTAACTTCTTCCTTCTCTATCATTATTCCTTTTCTTGTTTCTTATTTTGCAGTACCGGGGATTGAACTCAGGACCCTGCAGGACCCTGCACTTGCCAGACAAGCACTTATTCTACTGAGCTATCTGCCCAGCCCCCTCTTTTTTTCTCTTGTCTTAATTGCTCTAGCTAAAATTTCCAGTACTATGTTGAATAAGAGTGGAGACAGTGGATATCCTCGTCTTGCTCCTGATTTGAGCGAAAGCTTGCAATTATGTCCATTTAGTATGATGTTGGATGTTGATTTGTCATAGACAGCTTTTATCAGATTATGATAGAGAACATCTATTCCGATTTTCTGTAGGATTTTTATCATGAATGGGTACTGGACTTCATCAAAAGGTTCTTCTGCATCTATTAAGATGATCATATGATTTTTGTCCTTGGCTCTGTATCTAGGAATCTGTCCATTTCTTCTGCATTTTGCATCTTATTATAACACAAGTTTTC